CGGGCCCGACGCGCCCAGGGACAGGCAGCAGTACCTGCGGCAGGAGGTGCTGCGCAGGACCGAGGCCACGGCCGCCAGCACCAGCAGGTCCTTGTCCCTCATGTACGAGTCGGAGAAGGTCGGGGTCGCCGCCTCCGAGCTGAGCCCGGGCGGGGCCGGGCCGGGGGGGGCGGGACTGGCCAGCCTGGATTGTCAGACAGGTGGAGAGGGACGTTTTGTTCACGATCTTTTAGATTTACTGGATTGCCTGGATCGGTTCTTGCACTTGAGTGACTGGACGGTTTCATAATCTCTTAACTCTAAAGAGATGTACATCTGGTCCCACTGCTTAGAGAAGGCAGTTCGTCCTGGAAATTTTCCTTATCTACTTGTCTCTTTAGAAGATTTTCCCCCTACGTTTCCTTCAAAGAGAACAGGAAGGTCTGGGTTAGGGAAATGGAGGGACTGTTTGTTTATATAATTTTTTTTTTGGAGAGGTTTTTGGTATAGGGCACGTACACTTGTCAGAAAGACAGAGACAGAGAGACAGAAAGTGAGAAATCACCCCCCAGGGGGGTGGCCACGCTGCAATCCCTTCTCCATTCTCCTCTCGGGATCTTGGGCACCGTCGCACGCACCCGTGCCCAGCGTGAGTTTAAACCACTGGGTCCGGCACGCGAACCGCAGTCAACTACATGGGAGTCCGGCAATATAGCCATTACGCCAACTGCTGGTCCCTGTTTGTTTATATAATTTTCTGGGGCAGAAGCCTGAGCTCTGGGCTTTGGCCATTCCTCCTGGAGTGACCCAGAAAGAGGAATGTGTATGTGTACAGGGGTCAGGTGACACCCTGAAGCGTGTAAGCAAATGGGCCTTGGGTTCCTCCCACACACCGGCCAATTCACCTGGCCGGTAGGAGTGTGGTGTTCACCCTGTGAGCCTGGACAGGTGCTGAGGGAGCCAGACCCTAAGACTGGTTGAGTCTTGGGCCCTGCCTTTACTTCCTAAATCCTGGACACACACTGTGTGGTTGGTGACAGTCTAACTCTCTGATTCATCTTTGTCAGTTTTTTTCATCTGTGGGTTTTAGAGAGGAAGACCTTCAATAATTATTTATTCTTTTTTGTTCATTTGTTTTACGTTTATTTATTTCTTTCATGAGAGAGAGACCTGCTTAACAGGGTCTTCACATTGCCTCCCCAGCCTCAGCCATCTGGATCACAAGCACACACACCCAGCACGTACAGGGAGACCTCGGGACTCAAACCTGGGACCTTCCTTTGTGGCCTCAGCTTTGCAGAGTAGTGCATTATTATTATTATTATTATTATTATTATTATTAAGAGGTTTTTGCTATAGGGCACATCCACTCACCAGAAAGACAGAGAGAGACAGAGAGATAGAAAGCGAGAAATCACCCCCCA